ACAATCTTTATGCTTCTGATGTCTTATCGTAGAAAGTTTAAGAACTGGAAGAAGGTTATCAGCTGTGGATAAATTCAGATAAAAAAGAGTAGAACTTATCAAAAAATCTTTTCGTATTTGCACTGAATGAATCAGTCTTATTCATACTTTTTATTTACTGAAAGCAACATTACATGCTATCCTGAGGACTAATATGATTTTTCAACTAATGCTGAACATACTACCTACTCTACATTGTGCTTATCTATTCCTACACGTAAGAGAACTTCTTTCAGCGTTCATCCATTCGTCAAATATTTGTTGGCTAATGCAATCACTTGTGAGGTAAGTTGGAACGAATTTTGGTTATCAGTCATTCAAGGATACGACAATCAATGCAGGAATGTACACAATGAAAAAGCAACTGAACTGATTTCAAAACTGATTCTATTTATACAGTTCAATTACGTGTGAATAAAAAGAAAAATAAATTTCATGATTCAATGCTTGCGTTTGTTTTGCTATTTTTACTCTTCTATAATTTGTTGAAGGATGTTTATGACTCAAATATTCTTCACGAGAACATTCAAAGAACTATCAGTCGAACGAACAATTTCACTGGAAAAGTTTTGCTCAGCTGATAATTAGGTTTCCTCCCACCTAATTTATCTTTTCGATTATTGCAGAGCAAACCACGTGGTAGATGCAATGATATATAAGTTCGATCAAAAGCTTGACTCCAGAGGATATGCATTAATCGAGACGAATATCCGCTCGAACTTCCACGTGTAAGCTCAAATGCAGTGAGAATATTTGCGGTTCACAGCCGCTGGTCCGACTACTGGAGAGTTTACAAAGGTGAATACCAATTAATTTACTGCACATACATTAGTTTCGATTACATTTCACTAGCGCCATTCCTGTAGACATCACTGAAGTTACCTTAATAATTATTCTAATAGCATATTGCAATGTGAAGTATGTTTGCAACACTCGTTTTTCCCACTAATTATCAACATAATATTTTGATGTTTTTGATGCCGTAAAATTATAGAAAGGCACTTCATGATGACGTCCAGCTTACGCATCAAGATGGTCTGTTACTCGTTCTCGAACTGGACACATCGCTGCCCCCAACGACATCACTTAAAATTTTTCATAGGTGGTAAATGCTTGTTAGAACACTTCGTCAATTGCGAAAATCAGAGCAGAAAAAGATGAATGACTGCTCAAAAATGCCAAAAGTGTCTGATGTTTGAATGCAGCTGGCAATTGTTCGTCTGATGGGCTTATCTTCGACATGTACATCGTGGGACTGTAGATGTATGTTGCCTCAACGAGTGATATTTTAATACGGTTATAATTGTTCTGATCATCTAACTGCTTTGTTCCCTTCTATTGGATTCAAAACTGCCGTAGTTATTAAACTATTTCACGCAGTTTGAACTATTCAGGAATCAAAATCAGAAAGAGAGCATAACTACCAGTACTAAAACATTATCAATATGATGCGAATTTATGAATGAGTTTTCACGACAAGGTATGATTGAATGATCAAAATGATATGACACAACTAATTATCAACAAAAGTTCGAACTGTTCACGGAAATGACGCCTTATGACGCTCGTTTGTAACGCTTAGTGTTTTGCTTAAAATATGATCATCAGACCTTGACATTGTTTTTATAAAACTGCGATGGATCAAGGAAATGAAATAATATCTAATCAAAAAAACTGTTTGAAATGTTAAAATGTTTGCAATCAACATGAGCATTAATGTCATTAACCACTGTCAATGCTTTCCTCTTCCTCATTCGACATTTTGCAAATGTAACACCTCGATGGTCCATCCCTCTACGTGTCTGATTTTTTTGTTCAGCCTCACTTTGTCTTATCCACAAGTTTTGTGGTTGATCACTTTGACCAAATCATACCTTTCAAATCGAAATGAACAAACAACTCATATATCATCATAACTCATTTTTGTCCACGCAAGTGATCGTTTTGAAATTATTTTCTCGTATTCATTATTGATGAATACCAGATGGTTTTGGTGCTTCATTTTACTGTCAGACCCGGTCACTTTTTTGTTACAATGTGAACAAGTGATTTTGCAATGAATAGAAACGAAATAATGGATCACATGCTCTTCAATGAATTCATTTATTTCCTAGTGTGTCTATTAATTGTTAATCATTCGTTGATTTATTACTTGCTGTTTTAAAAAATAACTATCAATAACGAAAAAATCATGCAAAATTTGCAGGATATCAATGAGATTCTTGCTTGGAAAATTTACGAAAATACCGAAAATTTTGCAGAAATATCTTAAATAAAAGGCCGAACTGATTTTGGGTTACTTCAGTGATATTTCTATTCTCATCGAACAGTTTCAACATCGAACAGAGTAAACAAGCGATCTTCTTACTTTCAGGCCTGGAAAAACCACAAGGTAAATAAACCAGCTTGAGGTACGTAACAGTATGCACCCGCTCTTCAATAATCCATTCCGTATACTTTCCGAATACTGACATCTTACTAACATGAAATGTTCCCACATAACTGAATGAATATTTCACGAGCAATCACTGACTCTCTCCGTCCAAACTCAAACCAACCGCATTTTATTCTCTCGAAGATGAGAAAGAACCTTACGCTTCTCTGAAAAAAGCCTTACGCTTCCTTCTTTTCCGGTCTTTTGGTGTAATTTGATGAGTGATCTATCCATCCATTTTTGCTCTAAATAAATTCTTTAAAGTTAATTTGTGTTTTTGGTCATCACTGATTTCTTCAGTTATGCAAATGTTCAGTGGGCACTACATACTCTTTGAAACATCTCTCACAGTTAGGTGACCAACTGCAGATACAGCTCACCAAGTTCCATCTGTTAGTAAAATAGTCAGCTGCCAATTATAGAAGAAATCGTCACTATCATCAGTATGTCTCATTTATAAATTTCTTGAAGTGATCACGATCATTGCTCGTGTCATAACATCATGTCATTCGTGCAATTTCATCGCTTCTTGAAGTGAAATGATAGCACACTGAATACAATACTTTCCAAATTCACTACTTCAACAAGTACTGATCAGTTTGAGTGAAATTCTGCTGTACGAGTTTTTTTAGGAAGAAGTCTTTTGACGGTCAAGGCGTTTCGTCAAATTCGCCCTTCATGTCGAATAACTATAGCGTTTTTTTTTACATCACATAACGCACCATGCTGCATATAACCCGAAATTTTTTCTAGAATTCAATTTTATCTTTCTTTGTTGAGCTTCCGATTAGGAGTAGCATCATGATTAACATGGTTTTAACAAAAACGCGCACAGCCTTGAAAACAGTTATCGATGCGATGAAATTGCAATGCTGCATAGAACAACGCTATGCAACTATTCTTTTGTGGATTAATCTAAACTGTGCACTCAAGCAATCAATTTGTCACAAATTAAGAAACACAAACATGTTGCTGTTGCAGTTACCAGCGCCATCGTGAATTCCTTTTGATTCGCATAGCCAAGACAGATTATCGATGCGCATGTCTACACAGTTTCGTTCACTTATTCACCTATGTTTGCACGATTGTGCGAAACTCACTTCTTTTTGAGAATAGAAATGTTCACAATGAGAAGATTGTTTCTCATCTCAGATCATTAATTCGTAATATCTCAGACTGATATAAAACAAGCTGAAAGTTATATCATCATCTGTTTAATTCCATATGAGCACTGGAATATGAAGTTGAAAGTAAGTTCCTCATAGATTCTAACATAAATGCTTGATGTTAGAATAAAAATCTCTTCCTTTTTTTTATATATAACATAAAAAATCTCTTCATTCTCGCATAACATAAATACTTGATCATTATTAGACTCATCTAATGCACTGGTTCTCAACCCTTTTTTCGTTGGCACCCTCTAAAAAATTTTAGAATGTCCTCATCCCTCATAATATCCACTCTGTATCTCTCGTCCACCGCAGCAAGTGTACACCATTAGAGTACATTCTAGCCTTTTCAAAAATAAAGTCCACCGTCGCTTACTTTAACGTACAAAAAATGGAATTTTATCTCACACCCTTGGAATATCACCTCGCATCCCCAACGGGTGTGGGCACTCCCAGCTGGAAAAGCTTGATCTAGTAGTAAGGCGGTAAGTAGTGCGAATGCAACGCAGTCGTTTTACTACCACCATATCCACTACCCACTCTGTTATTACCAACTTGGTTCAGTGAAACTTTTAATGAAAAAGTACGGATGCAGACCCTACTTAATTCAAATCTTCTTTCACGCATTCTTTTGAAATGCTTATCGAAATGATGAACCGGGGGAAGCTTACGAATAGCTCCGCCTTTAAAAATAGTTAACTCCTCCCACACGCGAGACAACTTCGTAGATAGTCGTTAGCTTATGATATTGTATGGTTTCAGTCAAAGACTGTAATTTTGAATTATAAAAAGGCGACAGTGTTTGATAGGTGATGACAAGCTGAATGAATGCTTTCTTAAAGATTATAATCGGATTTGGTGTAGAAGAGCCCACTCTTAGACAGTCTGTTGTTCGCCTCGGAAGCATTCTTGCTTGATTCGTCGTCACTGAGGCAATCAGTCGTCGTTTTACTATCATCTTTGAATTCAATCGGCTGGTATTGACTGCTTGAACAAGCCAAATACTGCATGCGGCTTTTGCTAGTGCTGTTTGACAGCAACGCAAATGTCTCCTCACGAACAGTTGATCAGTTTTCTATTCGCATTTCTGCTAATTGAACGAGCATTCGCATTAAGATGTAAATGTACAACGAGTAAAGGTATATCGAAATGTGTTTATGAATATTGCGACGTTCATGCTACGAGTGAAAAGCGTGCTGCTTGTGCAGTTGTACGGGTTGAGCAACAAACACATTTCGCTTGTGTTCTTATCAAGCACACCTCGAACGACACCTTTTGCCATATGATCAGAAGTGCAACGGCTTGTTGGTGTCGCGATGTTGATTTTTGTAATGTTGATCTTGAGGCAAGGTTAGTGGAAACTGTAAAGAGCATTGAAAATGACAACGGGGATGGGAATGCGCTCAGCTATGAAAATTCCAATGAGAATGAATCTGACAACGATGAGCAACAAACATCGTTTGTTGAAGCCGAGGAAGTTCCACACGATATCTTTGACATAACAGCCACTCGATTGGATGACATGAAGGAAGTGGAATTGAAAGCAGCCACTGAACTGGATTCATTCAGTCATTTGAACGTAACTGCTGCTAGAAACTCCAAGCCAACGTTTTCACCCGAGGATTACTTATACAATTACGCTGACGAAATTGATCAAGGGTTTGTTTATATTTTCTTTGAGTCCTTCTCAAATCACTTTATATTTAAAATCTTTCTTCCAACATCTTAATATGTCGATTAATATCCAACTTCTTTCTTCAGTCTGTAATACCTATCCAAAAAATATGTAATAATCCCGGAATATTTGAAATGCTTCAAATATTCCGGGATTATTACGTATTTTTTGGACTATCAAACTTCTCCCGTTATAAAACAGCAATCTTCAGTTTGCTATTGCAGTCACGTTTCCATCCGTCCAATATTTTCGTTGTTGATTTTACACTAATATTTAAAGTTTTCAATGCTAAGAAGCGAAATAAATGTTGAAATATAACTTTGTTCACTTCTGCTGTTTAAGTTGGCTATACGGTTTTTATCATCAGCACTTTATTCATTCATTCCTTATAGTCATGGTGATGCTAACGCCATCGTTGATTAAACAATCGATGTATTTTTATGCATTCCAATTGGCATTCCAACTTCTTTTTTATGCTGAGTTATGTCCACTTTTTTTCCATACTGATTCATTCATTCAGTACATACTGTAGTGTTGCCCAAGAAACAAGGGTCCTAATCGGTGACAGCTCGTTGCTTAAAACTTATCCAGATTTTATTTCTCATTGTTTCGTGGCACTTCTTCTCTCATCACAAATCACTCTCCGACGGGCTTCCCTCGCCGTTTTATCCCTAACTTCCCGACAAAGAGGCTCCGTTGTACGCGAAAAGCTTTCGCTAACAGACAATAGCCTCATCAAAATTTTTTATTCGGTTCAAAATGATATAATCAACACATCCAATTCTCTCACAATTCAAATCGTCAAGTTTCATTTCCACAATTTCCTGGCGTGCTGCATTGCAATAGAACGTCATTCTTTTCAATTTGACAAATGCGTGTGTCAACGTTCCAAAATGAAACTGTCGGAGATTAATTCGCTTGGTAAACAAGGGGATACAAAAAGAAAGTAGTGAACACCACATTCTTTTAATAGCAGCTCTACACTTATTTCTCTCATCATTTGATGCCTCGATGTTAGCAAAGTTTTCGTTTATAATGAAGCAATAAAACGAATATTTCAACTGTGATATGTAACAGAAGTTATAATTAGAATGTTTCATTAGAATTGAAAAAAAGGCTCGTTGGAGCAGTTTGGTTACTGCGTACAAACAAAATTTTTATTCATGTCATATTTCGTTGTAAGTGTGACTACGAAAAAGCCTGTTAAATAATCATCAAATTCTTCCAAGAAAAAATCAACCACTTAAATAATAGTGTTCTGTAAAAATCGTTACTCAACCTGCTATCTGATCAGTTTCGCTCGCTGATTTTTCATCATCGAAAATACTTATGAGGAATTTGAGTATCAATAGAATAAGGTTAATGATTCACTTAATGTACAACGTTGAATATCATTATGTGAAATAAGGAAGTGTTTGAACAAGGAGGTAACTATGTGAAAAACTTGAATCGATTTATTTACTCTTCAGTCAACGCCTTGCTGACAATAGCATATCGCTGTGAATCCTCGATAAATCAAGTTGTATATATCAACACAACGTTGAGAAATTCAACACTGCGATGAAGCGCTGCTGTGATCTAGTTGGAGCACATTGTTTCACACCTTAAAACCATGCACTGAATTGATTTGATGGAATTTGGTGAAAATTGAATTATTGCATCGAATTGATGAAATTTTGAATTGTTAAATTACGAGTGATATTCAAATTACATTTTGAGGCAGTATTCCGACGAGCTCAGACGCTAAATATTTGCTCAAATCTTTTTGGCTTTTTACAAATGTTTTTCGTTCATATATCCAGTAAAAGAAGTGATGATCAATGGATGGAATGAGATGGAAATGTAATTTGGTGTTATGCAATCAGCTGTTTTTTTTACAATGGCAAACATTGACTTCATTATGAATATTATCGCAAGCGATGACACCAAAACTATATGGGGCATAATGCAAATGAGTACTGAATAACATCAAATTATGTATCATTTACATGCATTTTGAAATGGTCTAACACAAAAAAAAAATAAACGATAGAATAGAAGTGAAAAACGATCAAATAATTTGGCATTCATTCATTTCATCCAATGTATTATTGTGTCGTTCTCATTAACCAAATAGTTGAGCTTGTATTGAATGAAGCTGAATGCATCCGTTCTATTCAAACACAAACAAATGCGTACAGCTGTGCAGTTTATGCTATTTAAATAAGATGCATAAATGCATCTTTGTTGTTGATTTCCATATTGGTTCTTGCATGAAACCATGTGCTTTCTTTATCAATACAACGCATAATTAAACTGCTGAAGTGCTTTTGCTTTTTATGCTATTTTCAACTTTAGTTATTCCCCGAAAAGTATGCATCATATACAAAACAAAAATTTTTGTACTCACATCAATTGTTTATTAATTGTAAGAGAACAAATTCCATCCTATCTCGAATATGCACCGCTCGCTTCGTCACTACATTCATTTTCAAAGTAAAATATTTGAAGAAATTGATCGTTACAATCAATAAAAGTGAAACAACCAATCTCTGAAATTGTTCGCCTAATTTTCAATGATGACCGTGAAGTAATATTATAGCTGTTATTTATATCACCATTCTATCAGAAATGAACAATCTTATTTTGACAGTCGAAGAATCGATCAACCGTGGTCAAATTGACCAACGATTCCGCAAAATTCTTCTCTTTCCTTGTTAGACGAAAGTTATCCGTGTATGGTCAACACAACCGAAAGTTGCGCAGTATGTGACAAAATAGCTATTCGAATTCTAGTGGTGAACGTTGATAAAGAAATATCATAATCACAACTGTAAATAATTTTATCAAGAAATAATAAATGCATGGAAGTGTTTGTTTGTGTGTGTGGCCCAATTGCAATGAGTGTTTCAAATGATTTCTTATTCTGCCATTTGCAAATATCGCACTATTTGAACATCTCCAGCAAGAGCACTTGACCACTTGCAATAAGAGCATTCTTTATTTGCTTTTGTAAATCTTTCAACTGCGTTGCTAACATTTCGCGTATGCTAAATACCATTTTACATATCAGGAGCACTTCCTTACACATCCATTTTATAAACCCTGACTGTTCTAATGGATAATTTAAAATAACTTCATGAATTGATCATTCTTCGACCGCATATAAGGAACCATTCTACCCCTCCTCCTTTCCATGATTCTGAATATTATGTTCATTAAGGCTTCAATGCTTTTTCTGTCAAGCCTCATTGAGCAAATTTTATCTCAAAAATTCGGTACCCTCCTAAGGCGAGAAATTTTCTACGAAAATCGACCATTGTTTCTCTACGTCAATTCCTATACCTTTTGCTATCTCTCGATTTCTTTCTTTCTTCTAGTTCACTGAACAAAATCATTTTCTGGTAAAACCGTTTGCATTTCAATCAACAGCTATCATTTTCCGAGTCGATGAATGAAAATTCACGAACTGTTGCATGATTTTCGATATTTCACAAAGAAAGATTAGCATGTCTAACATCTTGGCTTCTCGGAGTTTTTGTGATTCTTTTGTTAGCAGAGAAAAGCGAGCATTTTGAGTTAAGAACTCAACTTTGTTAACTCTAATAGATTATCTCTCTTACAATTGTGACGATTTTTGAATTATGAAGCAATACATTCGAGGAAAATAATCATAAACTGTTAGTTTGGCCGTTTTCGATTGAGAGCTCGATCGTGTTGCGATGATATTTTGTTGAATTTATTGCAGAATTTAATTTTTTTAAAAATATAAGCCATAAAAAATATCGCCTATGCTGCACTGACGTTGAGAAACACATCTTTCTCGAAAATCATTAATCTCAGTGATCGTATTTTACGAAATTTATGTCAATTATTCACATTTACCTACTGTCACTTTAGAATTGATTCGAACGCCGCCGCGTATTATGCTCATTAGGAGGAAAAAGAAGTAGGACAAGCGATGAATTTTAGCTAACCCTTATGCTGAATGCACTCATTTAAGGATTGTATGAAAGAAACTACACCCAAATGCAACTGACCGCATTCAACACGTGTAATTCCAGTACGATGAAACAATGAATAAATGTGCTCTTCACTAATAGCCTGCTGAATTTTGAGTATTGATCCAATCATCGATGTTTCTAGGTCTCGTTGAAATGCTTTTAATTGAGATGCAATTGTTTATTATTGCGAATGCATCATCATCATCATGAATGTAAGATTCGGCTTTGTGTATTTTGTAACTAAAAACCATCAACACGATACTGCTCGACGTATACGTCACCTCACATCAGCACGACGCTTTCAGTTTCACCACTAATAACGTTCTGATTGCTTGCCATCACCATATCTTGTTCGGCATATAGTATTCACTTTTGCTCCATCTGCCAATGTGTGCATGAATTGTAAAGTATCGATTTAAGTGCTCATCCAAGTTCAGGAAAGCCTCTGACGTATGAAATAAATGAATATTTCGAAATAAACTTTAGATACATAATAGGTAAATGAGCATCATTGTTGCGCATTACAACGTCAATATCGTCGTAATATACTCAGGTTGAGATAGACCATAGCTCAGTTTTATCGCTTATAAGCGTTTCCCGTTTTTCATCACTTCTACCTCAATTCCAAATCAAGGTATCAGCTCTCGTTTTTGGAATATGATTCGAAGATTTTAAAAATACTACATTTCGATATTTACTTAAAAGTTTACTTTCTATTAAAAAATTAGGAGTTACGAGAAAGAAGTAAACAGATAGATATTTGTGATGTCAAATCATTTCATTTTATGCGTTCTCATCACTGATATATTGCTTCAGTGAGCTTTTAATTATTAAGGAGACTATGGTATTTTGATGAATAAAATCGATGACATTTTTTGCTGTTTATTCAAACAAAAGAAGCAAAATGGATTTTGATACAGTCGAGATGACCTTATGAAAATAAATAACAAAAATAATAAAATTTTCTTATCATTACTATTTTGAGAAATAGTGTTATCGCTGACCGATTTTGCTTCTGTCATTTTGTTCGTAAAAATTGTTAAACAACTATAAAAAAGTAATTTGTTTTGATGCACATCAATCATTTTGCAACATTGAATGTGCTTATCAAATTCTTTTTGAATGCTAGCACTCCCGAGAAAAAGCTTTTTTTGATGCAATCAAATGCAAAATTTAATTCTTCAAATTTTATTCTTATATTCTTGCAATACGCTTCACCATTCTGAGTTGAATCAAACTCATTGACAATATATTATTAGTTTTACCTTTCAGGTACACAGATGATTACGTTGACGGAGACTCCAATCACAGGTTCGTAAATAACATTCCTAATTGTATCTTTTAATATCGAATTTAAATTTAAAATAAGAAGCACTCATATACAATTTTATAACAAATACCATTTTACCAATTCCAAACTTAACTTCTCCTTCCATTTTTTCTTCGATCCTTTTTTATTGCTCGTATTTGAATACAATCCTCATAGTTAAACCAATCACACTTTGGCAAATCGTTTCCTTAGTATGGATTCTTCTCTAATTTGATTGATCAATTTGTTTGAAAAGAAAAACAATATAATAATTGATCAAAAGTGTTCTGAGCAACAGTAGGGTAAAATTCATCACTTAACTTTCGTTTAATGTTGTACGAAGTCGTTTGCACAATGAATTCCAAACAATAGCGGTTACTCATCTGAATGAAACAGAATAATGAGAGAGAAATAAAATGTATTCTAGTTGAATAGATGACTTTGAAGCTTTGTTTGTTTGCAGTGAACAGATTTGAGTCATGACTAGATCAAGTCATGAGTAATCAAGAAATGTGTACGTCAGTAATTAGTACCTACTAAAGTCTAAACAGATATTTCATGAATGAATCATAGTTATTAAATAATATCACTGAATAGAAAACGAATTTCGCAAACAACTGCTGCATTAAATCTAATCAAATCGGTGTTTAGCACTTAATGCCAAACTATTATAACATTCTCGTTCAGTTGTCAATACATACTTACTGTCTGGTTGGGCTGGTGGAACTGAAATAGTGACAAATAAAGTTAAATGGAACATTGTCCGGAGTTTGGGTGTAAAGTGAGTTTAAGACCAATTATAAGCCAGAGCCCAGATCCTAGCCTAAAGTTACGCCTGGACCTGAACTTGCGCCTGTTCGAATTTTCGGGCTGTCCATAGATATTTTTAGTATTACATGGACAGTAGTTGACAGAATTGTAAACAGGCAAATTTGTAAATTAATCAGACACGATAATTCAGCGTTGATCATCAAATAGTGCAGTCGAATGAATGGTCAAAACAAAGCGAGAACGAAAACGGAGAATCAGCGGTGTTTCTGAAGACGTCTTTAGATGGCGACCGCTCCATCGTCAATGTCGATAAACCAGCTTCACTTATACACCAACCAAAAACCAACACAGTCTTCATTGAACCGTTAATGACAACAGCAACTGCATTCACTTCAGTGGCCGGTACTCCCACTGCTAATTCTACCATTACTACTGCTCTTACTGGTAATAATAACAGTAACAAGATCAATGATAGGAATTATAATACACAAACTAAAAGCAATACAACAGCGGAGGATGCAAAATCGAATCATTATATCATAACAAGCAACACTCAAAAGTCCACCAAACTAACTTCTCCGTCAACAACGGCTCAGTTAATAAGAAGCACAGAAACGTACACCGATACCTTTCCACAGGTTACTACTTCGACACCAGTGACCATAATTAGTAGCAGTATCAATATAGATAATAATCACAAAACTTATGATGAACGGTATGATAAAAACAATAATAACACTGCAAACATTCTCACGAACATTCAGGCTTCAACAATACAGCCCACAACAGCACATCAAGTAAATACACTATCAAAAATGGCTGAGAAGCAACTACCTTCGCAACAAATGAAATATATTGACGAAATAAATCACAAGGATGATACATCAGCTGAGATCAATACAGATGAGCAGCACCCTACAATTCAGCAGCAACTGCACATTAGTAGCACAAGTCGTGCATTCGGAGATGACCAATGGCAGTCAAGCGAAACGATGCAACATGCAATTAATCAACAGCCATTATTACCCACTCCAACACGAATCTATCCTCAGTTAGTACCGAAAACATTACTCGATAAGTGGACAAGGCACATTAATGAACACCACCATCAGAACAATAGTAATAGTACTCATAACAGCAACAAAGATGCCGTTCAAGATGATATTATTAGTAATAATATTAATAACGGCGCTTTTATTGTCGTTATGCACACCTCTTCAATGTTCTGCTTTTTGCTTGTTTTCTGCCAGATATATAAATGTTTTGAGTATTGTTGTCTCATGTAGACCCAATATTACTGGAGCGTATCTAGATCGGTTGATATGAATATATATTCGTTCTTACACGCTTCGTTTACTGTTTTGCTGAAGCAGTTTTGTTTCATTGATTGCATTTGATTGTATACAAACATGCTTAATACGAGTATTGTATCTTCTTAGTGTTTCAATCGATCGCGACTCTCATCTCGGATTTAAACACAAAATTACATTTCGCAAAGGACGCAATCTTATCAAATCACAATTGTTTTGATACGAAATAATTGCGACATACAAAATCAATGATCATTTCATTTGAAACATCCACCCAACATAACAATGTGTTGTTGGATATTGAGCTTAGTTGAAACATTTCAAGAAACATGAAGAAATTACAAAACAGTTTTCACTATAACTCATGAGTAGTTCAAGTAAATGCTCGTCCGAAAAAGAAAACCGAACAAAAAATTGTATGAATAGAACAAAAATATTTCAGCCACTCACATAAGCAAATATCCAAGTTTTTTCTGAGCCATCAATCAAGTTATCTTTATCTATAGTATATATTTGTGATCATTTGTTGAGAGTTAATTTGAGAAAATGATGAACAACATTTCAGCATTGTTCATTAAAAGAATTATAAGATACAAATTTAAATATACATATGTGCCTTGACGTGTCATGTACTGCTTTATTATTGTATGCTATGAATCAATAAATGATTCATCGTTAGCTTTTTCATCAATGATTACTTTCTTCATCAGTGAACAGCCATCAGAACTGACCGAGTTCATTTTTGTACAATTAATAGCACTTTATTCACATATGAATTCGAATTACATGGATAGTGATTTCACATCGATTTTCATAATATATCCAGTATTTCTTAAAGAATAAAACCCCAACGAGCCAAGATAAACGATTCAATAGATTCAGTTTTTTGATAAGTACCATATTTCTTCAAATAATTCCTTATCATCATTAGTAAAAAAAACCCATGTCTCGAACAGGTCTCCTCCAAACACCTATATCCCTGCTCCTCAATATATCCACCCTCGAAAAAAATTCACTCATTTCTATTCTCAACTCGTGCAGAAAAATAACTGAAATGGTGCTGTAAACTGACATGAACAAGCGCAAGTATTGAGCCAGTTATTTAACATTCCTGCTTGAGTGTTTCTTTTGCGCTTTCTACAGGTTGTTCTCGAGCGTAGAATGTTTTTTCGAAACTACACTTTCCTAGAGTTAAATAAATTTCTCCTCACCGCCTTCGAACAGTTCAAAAAATTCCATCATCAGTGCTTCTTGGTCATGAAATATTTAACATGTATAAAAACTGACGTGAAAACTTTAAATGGGCATAAGAGAATAATTTTACAAATTATCAACAACACTATTTTCACTGCTACACTGAGGTGACAAATGACAAACTGATAGCTGAGCGGTTAATGTACTGAAACTCAGAGTTTACAACAATCACACCAGCAATAATAATCAACACTTATCACTTTACTGAATTCAAAGCGGCAATCATAAAGATGAAAATTCAGTGAAGTACAACTGCGAAATTAATTTCATAATATGTGACAACCTTGAAGAATGTCAATGAGAGATAAGAATGTGAATCATTTTAGTGATTGATACAGCTGAAAACAATAAACAATGAAAGATAACCAAAACTGATCTAGAGAATCAAGAGAGTACCATCACTGTGTCTCGCCTCAACCAATAAGTTGTCGAATTGCGTCATTCACCCTTAAAACGTATACCAATTAATTTACTGTATTTGATTATTACCTTAATTACTGCTATTCTTATTATAACTCAAGTCATTATAACTCTTATTATAACACACTTTTTCATACATTTAGTACACATTTTGTTATTCGTTTTATCTATTTTTCGTTTATTTCTCCATATAATTAATTGAAATTAAAAGGAGAAATGTTCAAAACGGTGTAACTGACTCATACAGAAATATTATATTGCGTCATCGAAATCGGAATTTGCTCTTTTGCATCAAACAATATGGTCATCTTCAAGCATATTACAATAGCTAAAAAATGATGGATATTTATGACTAACTAGGAAGATTTGATTGATCGCCATAACAGATCGGGATGAAACCAATACCATTTCAAAGAAAACATGAAAAATTGTACTACGAATCGTTTTATTCTCTGCCCAATCGACCTGTGGACCGAGGTAAACGAGTTTGAAACAACGAAATTTGCACACCAACGTCGCAAAAAATTTTTTACTCCGAAACCAACATGGCCAAGGGACACATGTCCGAGAAATCTGTCTATAGACGAATTTAGTGATGTGACCCTCACCAAACTTCTGGAGAACCACGTAATTCCTGTGATATAAATCAAAGCATCGTTCTCCTTTGCGCATGAACTTATTTGCATAGCATTTTCTTGCAAACTAATAAAATTACAAGAAAACGGAATTATAACCAACTAGGAATCAGGGTCATCACGTATAATCTCATTAGGATAAACTTCCTTATGGAATGAATTTCTAAATGTGAGCTCTTAAATTTGTACTTTCTTCATTTTAAGAGGTTAAAAATTGCAAAAAGCTCACAGCCAGAAGTGCAACCTCATTCCATGCTCTAATACTCAACCCACTCTGCCTCCTGGTCACGTTGGCTTTACCGTTTGAAAAAAGTCTATGGCACTGATGTACAAATTTCGGTCCATCTTTAACACCGTTCATCCCGGCTCACGAGTCGATTGAGCAGAAAATGAAAATGACTCCTAGCGCAACTTTTTATGCTCTTCCGAATGGTGTTGGTTTCGTTCCAATCGGTCACGACGACTGATCAAAACTCTCCTGTAAGAAAATAGAGTTAAAACTGAAAACAAATTATAATTTGATATTACAGCAAATAAACGCTTTGGAAAATGAACTGATGGTGTGTAAACAAGAAGACGATGAAACCGATTAAGAAAAAAATAATCAGATCAAGTTAGGTAGCATACCGTCGAATGAGATGAATGTTGTGTGCAGCACTGGTGCGATGAATATGAGACAGAAGATGCGGCAAAGCAGAGTTGGTCAATAACGCTTGTAGATCTCGTCTTGATCGATCGTCGCCAGAGAGAAGATTACAAATCGCTAATACAGCGCCAATATGCGCACTACTATCCACACTCCTCTGTTCAATTATTGTTTAAAATCAATTCGGTTCTCAAAAATTATCTGATTTTATCATTCCCTCATATCATTATTATGCTGCGTTCTTACAACTCGCAACAGAGTTCTTGATCAGCCATACTCACAAGTACCAATGAAACTGCTAGATGTAACAAATCAGCAAAGTTATTATGAAAGCAACACTAACAAGTTCATTCATGATGCAAGCGAGCAGTATCTCATCGTTTGCGACCGCCATTTGACAACTTGGAATAGCACAAAGATTCGCTAACAGATTTAACGCTATCTCCTGCAGTTATAAATTTATCATTTTCCACGACCCGAACTCAACTCTAAAAAAAATTAAAGAACCGACACCAGTCCAGCTTGAGACTATGGACGTACAACGAAAAATAACGTCTTAATCTGTTTCTTTCCACTGGTTTCTCAAAAAAAGATGGCAAACAATCAACTATACGATTTGAATCAATTTACAGAATTGTAGAACTGTGGCTCTTCTAGTTTGTATTAATTCCATAATCAGCATAGTGCAATTGCAAAAAAAAAGAGCAACGAAAATGGAATGCATAGTGAATAATAAAAATGAAAGATGAAAGGAAGTGAAAAGGAAATTGCAAACAAAAATGTGAACATTCACCATATGCAAATAAAGTTTAAAATGCACATACACTAACCTTGGTATGAACTGAGAAATGCGACTCAAATGAACGCTTGATCATTTCAATAACACTTGGTGCATTCTTAAATGACTGCTCATTGAGTGAGTTTAACACATCTGACGATTCGGTTGTGAAAGGATCTTGACAATAGAGATTACGATAGAGAGATAGCACTTTTGCGAACAAATACTCATCAGCATCCGAAAGAAGACTCAATGCTTCTGCACTCGCAAAATGACCCAAAATGCTCAACCTCACGCTTGCAGTGGATTGACAACTCAAATTCTGAAATAAGATAGGACAGTCAAATGTCATATGCTCCATCCAACAGATAACCTCAAATGGATGGAACATGAATCAATTAAGTTTTGAATATAAGAAAATATACAAACGCCATCAAAATTTAACATGTAAACTCTACCTGTACCAATTATCATCATAAACAGAAAAAAAAACCTTTCGCGAAATGGCAACTGCCCAACAACGATATTCGCAGGTGATATTATAACTAATTCATGAATTTTAGTTACACAGCACTTTGACTACATATCATGCGAATAAAAATACGCTCACCATAAGAGCCCAAATGGCATTGAGTGTGATTGATGGGGTTTTGTTTCGTTGCGCTAACGCTGATAAAGGTGCTATCGCATCAAAGAGAAATGAACGAGCTGAGCAATAATGCAATGACAAATTTGCTGAATTCGTATCTAATATTAGCAAATACAATAATAATACAGTGGTGAGGTTTTGCAAGAAAACAGCATATCCACCAGACTCACAAATATCATGATTCAAATTCGCAAATTTAATCGATGCTCCAACTAGCATACAGAAATAAAATTCGAAACAAGTAGTGAATAATGAATACAAACGAACATTCAACAACTAACCAATAAGAGAAGTTGCGAGTGTTAAAAATTCCGAATCACTTTCATTTAGAAGGCAATCAACAACGAACTCAACGAAATGTTTATTATCAAACGTTGTTTTCAAATGATGTACCGATCGACTAAGCGCATGTAAAGTACGCAATAGTGATTTAACCTAGAATGAAGCATATTTAAAATTGAACATCGTAATACTAACTAGATTGCATTTTTACAATGAACTTGTGACTAGATTTATTTTGCCATCAAACAACCAATAGAATCGTCAATAATTCAAATTTACTTGCTGGGGAGGATTGCTCCTCGATATACGTGATGCAGTATTGTTGATATGTGACGACTGAACACTAATTCGAGACGTTTCACTATTGAGTAGAAGTTGAGATATCACGCGTAAGGCATTTGTCTGCAGTGCCTTCAAACGCAGATAATCAATGGCAAAATTTGATCATTCGCTAAGAATTCTTTACTTCTCAACACTTTCATCTTTTCTAATCGGCGGTTCTGCTTTTACAGTCAACTTTCCACTACTATTTAGTGAGCTACAAAACATCAGAAATTTGTCAAATTAAGGAAACTCTAACGAAGCGTACAAGTAAACCAATCAACAATAAGTCACTAATACTTATTCCAAATCCAGCAGTAAAAATACAAACAGTGATATAGATGATCATAATATCAACATCGTTCAACTATTACCGCAGATAAATGCAATATATAAACACAAAACCGACCACATCAACTGAACAATTTCGAGGTGAAGTGCTGGTAGTTGGTAGAACACAAGTGAACATTTCGTTCAGATATCTAGAGTCGTCAGCTTGTGATACTCTTTCTCTAAGACTAAGTGCTAATGAGAGCAGATCAACTGCTTCGGCTCGTTTCTCTTCATCCTCTTTACAACCACAACACCGAATCAAACTTACGAAACAACTTCGTAAAATTTCTTCTCTCATTACTCCATTCGTTTTAAATGCCTAAAAGCATACATTAATGATTTTGACAAAGAAATTTTCGATACGGAAACTTTCTGCCTAAACTTTTGCATATACACTCATTTACTAGATGAGACTAAACAATACCCTTTCTGGATGTTGTATCGCTATATCATATTCAATCACTAACTGATACAATATAAGAAAATAAATGAACTCAGATGAACCAGTAATTTTATTGTATCATTGGTAAGCAAACATAACATAATAGAAAAAAGAAATTCTGTGCAAGACAACGCTTTCGAATGATGATGAAAATTTCCCATATTTCACTCGTCTTTTTATTTGTCACAAATCTTTAATAGACTTCGAAGTACCCAATTCAGAATGCATGACCGAACTATGTATTTTAACATGGAAACAATTGTTTTCATAATTTGCATAATGTAAATTCCACTAAAAAAATTTAGATCACGTGAACTCCTTCCTTAAGCAATCACCGATTTCTTTTCGAATACAGTTTAACCCCACCTAAAAACACGAAATTCGTTGGATGACATCGAAAACCAGGGACGGAGATCGATGAAAAATTCTACCTGGGCACCATACAGGAGACATTTTGTTGCTTCAATCTGTATTCTCAATGGAAGAAAAGGACCGGTGAGATGACTAATGTGATTCATGACTTTTTCATCTTGCCAAAAATGCTGCATTGAATGATCATGATGAGCGAGAAGATGCAGTAAACACTGTATTGTCCATTCGAGTTGCTGAAATTGATGGCTAACATCCATTACAGCAAAATGCATTCCCGTTAATGTCTCCAGTTCTAACTGTCATATCAATTGCAATATTCTTCCCTTTATTTACTCATGTGAAACACAATCGCCAACTTAGATATTATCAACTGATCATCAATGTAAATTATTTCTCTTAGTCATAGAGATGAACTCTGACGATTAATTTTAGTTTTCAGAGAAATTCTGATTCACATAAATGCATTAAAAATGAGACAACAGAATCAATTATGTATTCAAATGCCATAAAAATTATCATTCTTGATTTATTCAACGAACTGGACAGGTTTCGCTTGACCAAAGCAACGACAGACCACCAGGAAAATCATTCTTGTATGTGATATTTAACAAACAAAAAAAAGAACTCAACATCGATTAAGAGAAACATTTTACCTGCAAGTCTTCTGAAAATAAATGCGAATAGATAACTTCAGAAACGCCAAGTGCTGATAATTTATCGATGATCCTTCCTTCCTTCAAACAAAAAGCATCAGGTTGACTTCAAAAGCATTCTTCAATCAGATGCCTACTCCATTCATTGGAGGAAGAGGACTCAAACAGATACCTGCATCAAGAAGGAAAGTATTTTGATGACAAAATGTTTCTTGGTGGCAGATGACTGTTTGAGTAATAACGACAGCATACCATCAGATTGATCGCTATTACATAAAGCATTCACCACGAATGCTGGAAGTGGACAACGTAGCAACGAGCTAATCGCTCGTAATGCACACACACCAAGTTTTTCATCATTCACACCTAGCAAACATTATCACTGTAGTTGTTAACGTTCTTAACAAATCTACACTTCATCCATCACCTATTGACGATGGATTTGCATATAACGGATTCAGGCTGTAAAATATTCGTTACACATTCCATATACAATATTCTTAACATAAAAGTAGTCTTCAAAAAGAATCGCCAATCTCATAAAATCATCCATTAAGATGAGCGTCTCCGCTCATAAAATCATTTAAAAAATCATTAAGATGATGAGTTTGGTGCGCGACAGGTCCCGTCTACTGACAACCTTCCTTCCCCTCAATCGCATGGTGCCGGTGCCTCAGAAACCACAATACTCCTTTCGCATACAAATGTACAATTCTTTCGCGTTACGAGGCTAGTTAACGAATGCACATCAATCGGTAACGACAGAACTCTGAAGAAGAAGCACTCACAGTTGAAACACAAATGAAATATTCGTTCAGTGGTATCATCATGCTCATGATTGTCAGTCGACTTCAATAAACTGCTCAAAATGTTGAGAATAGATTCACGATGCACGTCCAGTGTTGTATCATTTTCGAATAGTGTTACCAGGCTGTAATCAAATGACAGATACGAACAAATCTTGAAGTGTTGAATATAAGCAAAATCATTGATAGAAACGAACTGAACTGTAATTGTGTGGAAATTAGGAGAAAAGAGACCGCAAGTTATCCGTGAAAATTAATTTGTGATTAATCTATGCATATGATAACTCAAAGGATTTTATCCCATATCAGTCTTAGAGGAAATTACGAACAGCAACAAATTATATCAATGAAGTTGATGAAATTGAGTTAATGATGTGGATTACATTAATTTTTTTCATAATTCAACAAACTGAATCAGTAATCAAAAAACTGATTTTATGATTATCCTTTGCAAAATTATGAAGAATGAATTTTGGGTCTATTGAAAAGAACATCAATTAGAAGAGCATAGAAACTACTTATTCCATTAAAGAATAGTATGAAACCTTTTGAGAGCATTCCGTGCGATCAGTTCTCTTTTGCGGCGTTTATTACCATACGTAAGATATTTCAGCTCACTAAAGTGGAAGTTATGATTAACGGAAAAAATTTATTTAACTGTAATGATACTGAATAAATCACATAAATTTCGCTTAACAAAATGACCTATTATGAAATAACAATTGGCGCTGAAATGAATTCAACCAGATAATATGAAAGAATCAACTTTAACAAACCATATCAAATCAACAAAGTATGAAAAATAATCAAAGAATTTCAATCTGTACAGATGACAAAAATATGACCGCAAGAATTGGGAAAGCAAATGAAGATTTTTGAGGTATTTACGCCAACAACAATAAATGCCCACTATAAATCAGTGAATATACCTCTCTGAACTTGGGATATATAATCTTAATAAGAAAAAGAAGTGAAAGTATAACATAGCAATGAGCAAAACTCACTCGAGGACTGAAGAAAGTTGATTAGAATCAGAGACAGTTTGTAACGTTTCACTTATTCTATCTACAACGTCCTCTTCCTGCATCGTTCTACCAGGAACTACAAAATAAAGTAATTTCATTAAGGGATGATTCAACTGATAAAGGATGAGGAGGGATTGACCGTGTTGCACTTCCTTAGTATTGTGATCATGCATTTCGATGTTCCCAGAGGTCTCCGACCCTACCTCTTACCTTCGGCGGTCCCGAGTACTTACGAGGTCTCGGAGGCCATCACCCTACCCCTTCACTTTCTGGGAACCTCGAGCACTTGCGACGTTTCTAGATTCCCTTCACCCTACTTCCTACCTTCGTGGCCCCCAAGCTCGATTTCGCCCTCAACCCAACAGTACATTATGGGCATGAAGAATACATGATATATGTTGTGTGACTAGACTCAACTTTCAACGAAACAAATTTTTAAGCTGTTAGAACTTCAAATTCAAATAGAAAGTGCCTCCTGCAATAAATATGAAATGCTCGCTATTTTCCTAAATCATGTACCTGCAAAATCAATTCATTGTTGTATCACACTCATCCATACAACATCATTCGTTGCTTACAATTTAACTCTGCTCATCCACCAAATCACTAGATCAAGTTTAATGAATACGTTCAATGACTGCACTAAAATTGAATTTCCGCTATACAATTGTAATTTATCGAAGAGACATGCAATAATTTTCTCGCACCTATCTATCTCCTCTCCTTAAAACTGCATCCGTTGAAGTCAGAGCAGATGTGCATGTTCTTATTTGATAAAACATAATTTTCGTGCATACGACGTAACAGACTGCAAAAAGAACTGTCAGAATAAATGCACCAAGCATAGAGACATAACTGTTATGTGATTATCCTGCGAAACTGTTCTGAACTCGGAACGACAGCACTAATTTCGAAGGCAATTAATGCGGTATTTTGAAGAAGTGATGAAACACAATCATCTTCCACTTTGCATATACAACAAATAAGTGAGAGTTATGAAATGGCCAGGAACGTTTATTGGGACGTGTGATCGTTGAACATATAATAGAAGTTACTTCACAGCCACGAAAACATTTTTTAAAAGTGCTTAAGTCAGCCATTCAGAGTAACAAAAGAGAATTAGTCATTAATTAAATTAAGAGAAAAGAAATTAAGAAACTAAAAAGTATTCACGAATAAAATACTCGCCAAAATCTCACAAAAAACATTCTTTCCATTCTTGCCTAAAAATGTGAAATGAAAACAAAAAAAGGACATAATGAATATATAACTCAAATTCAACAGAAGAGCGTTTCATACACACTCTACGACTCAAACTTCAACCACCAAACGTATTTCCATAACGCGAAATTTCTCAGCGTCAAACGGATGAACATTTAAAAAACATTCAAGAAGCACTCTAAAATGACACCATAAACGAAATCTGCATATTGCGTTTTACAAATCAACAATACATTTGCTGTATATCGTTGATATACAGATAAAAATAGCGATAAGAAACGTTCAATAAACGAATTATTAAGCATAAGCGATTCATCTACAACGTACAGTTTAGTTACACAACTGAAAATGTAATTGGAATTGAACTATTAGCAATTATATAAAGCTCATTTTGTCACTCAAAACAATCAATATTAAAGTAATCGAAAATATCATAACATCAATCACATGGTCGAAACAGCATACATATATGACAAATACGATGTATCTATTTCAGGAGCAGTTTGAATATTATGAACTCTCATTACAAAACTGCTATTTGTGCACATTAAAAAAACAAATATTTGAAACGTCACCACTGCAGACACATTAAAATAATTGAGAAATGTGAACTACAAGATTTTAACATCCTCACATGCGTGCGCCATCATCACATCTCAACTCTACCACGAAAACGATCAGAATGTTTTGAAAAAAAAGCAACAGTTCAGTCACAAAGAGTACTTTACTCACCATAATACTCACTCACTTTAAGTCGTACTCAACGATAATTTCAACGGAAAAGAAAATCATGAATGAATACTATAAAGCTCAATCAAGATATAACTCATATTGCTGATTGCCCATGCAAAGAGCCATAACAAATTTGTTCAGTCATTTTCTGACTAAGAGTTCATCACAAAATATCTAAATGGACGTTTGAAATAAACTAATATTACTGAGTGGAATATTATAATACCGTATCATTAAATTCCACATATCTATGATCATTCTACCCTTCCAATCATGCCCAAATGAAGAACGTGGAATGCACCATGATGATACACTGTCGAACAATTCTTTTCAAATACATTGCTCACTAAGGTCAACGAAGATTAGCTATTACCTTTTCGCATGTTCCCGTTGAAATCTGTTGACTAGTGCTGATTAACTAAACACATGCTAAATACTAAATAAAATGCTAAATAAAAACAGTTAACAAAACGGTAACAATGAAATAAGGTAACGTAACTTATTTTGCATGACATAAGAAACAAGTTTATAATAACGTGCAAGAAGGGCTAGTGAATAATGATAAACTACTTTACTAAGGATGATAATGGTAGCCAGACCTGGCACGAGGCGTGCGTAAGCTGTGGGGCGCACATACAAGTCTTAAAACTGCTTGACGATCAAAGCCAGTACGTATTATTGTGTGGTCATTTAGGAAGAGGCACCTTAGGGCCACGGCTTGATATCGAAGTTTCCTTTGAAAGGAGCCAAGGATGAACAAAAAAATGACACGCCGACTCTGATGATGGAGATAAAAGGGGAGAATGATTTAGTGAATAATTTGCTTTGATGAAACTATAAACTACGAAGCAGCTTGCATTAGGTCATTTGCTTGGGGGTATCTGCGATGAAAGTAGTGAAGCACACGTCAGATAACCAGTGTGAGTGGGTTGTGTGCTTGGATACGTGAACAATGTTGAAGAACGCATCGATCGAGTTGTTTGCTGCATTTCCTTGGGACGATTATCAATTGGGAGATCGTTGGCTATACTCTTTATCATGTTATCAGTACGCCTTCTCTTCGCATCAAATCCTGCTTCTTCTTCTTCCATGCCTACACCTGTTGCATCTTTATCGTACGCAGCATTCGAATGATTGAATTCTTTCAGCGATTCCAGCGCCATATCAACCACCTTTAAATTGTTAATTCATCACTTTTGACAAGCCGACGAATATTCAAACAACAAGACTTTCATAACAAACGTTGAAAAAAACACAAAGGAATTTGGTATTGAAATGGAACAAAAAGCTAGACATGACAGCAGCGAATCTTCCCTTTATGATACGTTCAGCGAACTTGAAAGCCACAGTATTCATCTTGAAAGACAGCAATTCTGCATGAGCTAAGAACGAAATGTAACATGATTGAATAACACGAATAGGTCTAACAATTAAATGGCTTTCAAATTAAAAAGAAATGAGTGATACCACAAGCACACATTGAAGCGCAACTCCGAAAGAAATATATAGAGTTGAGACTTATATTAGAAATTATAACGTTCAATACGGGTGCATAAAAGAGTTGCTAAATTACCTTGAGTTTCCTTGGTACTAATTCTAAAGTTTCGATTTGAACGAATCCATGATGACGAAGTGCCGAACACACTCTCTGCACCTACAAATTCAACCTTATCAGCATTTCGACATTGAAAGATGAGCAACCAATTGAATTCGATCACTCAATTCACTTTGAAAGTAGCTGTCAAAACCTTGATGAAATGAAACATAATCACCACAGTAAAGCAACGGTAAGGCATTAGATGATGTTAACAGCGAGACGATATAAATTTAAAAAGCATGCAACAATAAATTGAGAGGTTGAAAAAATGAAAGACCTGCTCAATACAAGGTGAAAAGCTGACAATGCGTCCACCTCTCACACGACTCAAAGCTCTTTTAGCGTGTGAGATTGCAGTCCATGGTGCTGGTATGTCAAGGAATATACCATCACAAGCATTCTCTACAAAGAAACCATCCTCACAGACGTTTTGATTAACACATGTAGTTACGTCGCCTAATCCATGCTTCTGTAATCACATCTTACATTTATTAGTTATGATATTTTCAAATTCAACTCAACAAACAGTGGGCATCAAAAACTGAACTAGTGTAAAATCGAATAGCATATTTCAACTGAACGAGGAGTTGCATTTTCAATAGGTAATTCTAAATTATAAAATATGGTCATCAACATACATGCAAACAAACAGATTAAAGCAGCCATTTAAAAATAGATATCAACTATCAATACATTCAAAAACAACAATTCATCCATTGGACGAATGAACATTTCTGTGATAAGAACCTAAATTTATCGAAAAGAAAAAGCAAACAGAAAACGGCAAAATGAAGTGCTCGAAGAGTGAAGCACCTACTTTGAGTTCATCTTCAACTTGCTTAACTCTTGGCTCTTCGATATCGTGCGTATAAAGATGTCCTTTAGGTGAGATGGCCATAGCAAGAGCGTGTGATAATGAACCACTGCCAGTACCGCTCTCGCACAAAACCTGATGATAAAATTTCGAAATTAAAAATCAAATTAGAAACGAATTCTAATCAGTTGCTTATGAAGAAGAAGGTCAGCGTCGCTTATGAAATGAGTCTCTCGACATTCATATCGTAGCAAATACGAATTTAGATGACTATCTCTTCACCATTACTTTTTAGGCAACTCCATTCCATATTTTTCTAGCGAATATGAAATACGTCAACAATGACAATGTCGTTGCTCCTACACAAAATCCGAACAAGACTATTATTAGGGGAATGAGATACCCCAAGTTTAAAATAACTTATCTTCACAGATAACATCTCTCAGAACTCTTGATTGATCATGACCAAATGATCTCCTTCCCACATTTAGATAAGCATTAATGATAACAATTATTTTGAAGCAACGCCACGAAAATAACAACAATGACACAGATGCATGTCATGAAAAATATTCATCGAGCAAGCACATCAATGGCAATCGAACAGAAAATGAGTGAATTCACTCACCGATCCAGGTTTAGCATCCAACAGCATAACGATAAGTGCGCAATCCGGAGTGTATAATATTTGCGTACGTCGCGGTAACGTCCTCGTCCACAAATCTGCACTTGGTCGTAATGCATAAACATAACCTGCTGTGGCTGATACTCGAGAACCGTAACTGAAAATATTTGTATCTTTGTTAGGCATCAGTCGTGCGATTGATAATTGATGAGATATCACTAACACGTGCACATACAGATAAATGAATTCATTTCATGCAAAAACACGATTATTAAACAAAGATATCAGTGAAAATATTATCACTTACATTTCACTCCAAACAAACGAACACTTCAACTTCACATGAATATGAACAATAAAGTATTTGAATTTACAAATCAATCAAAAGATTATATACCGTTTTCCGATTAAAAATTCATGTTTGAGGGCACCATAACGCATATTGAGTGTACATCCTCGTTTCACATCAACCGCATATGCTGTTCCAAAATTCACATATACAATAACTGTATCACCTTCTTCAATTACATCACCAGAGCGTAAAAAATCAGATGATCGCTAAAATATAGCACGTGTAACAATAGTATTAAAAAGCACTTACAAAATTATAAACCCTATATTGCATCAAATGTATTAAGAAATCGCTGCATAAAAAACTGAAGCCATGAAAGTCATTAAAATCGACAAATTAAAAACGGTTCCAATGTCTTGAATTGAGCGTTTGAAAGCAGCATAGTACACACACTCACTTATGCCTTATTAAGATCAATGATTCTTTACTATGTGGCACTCTCGAAGATAGCAACCATGTGCATACTTCGAAATCAAAACCAATAACATCCGAATTCTGAATCAGAACAATCAAAACAGTCACGTTAGAGTGGCACAACGACTGATGATTTTGTAATTAATGAATGTTACTATGATGAGGATCTTTTCTTTACTTATTCATCAATTACTGCAAATGATTTGGAATAATGCCACACCGGGGCAGATCACTCAACATCCCTTTCTGATAACTGAAAGGATGCACGATATTCCTTCCCCTTTGTCTCATCACAATAAAAATTGGAAAACGAAAAAATCCACTGAAGAACAAATTCTGCATGCACAAAACAAATTATATGGCAGAGAACACATTTTATGGTGTCTTCTTAGGCAATCCTGAACTGACAGCGAAAGTTTTGCCTACGAAAGATTTTGTATTTCTGAATTGAAAAATTCAGGACAAACTCCTAAGATATAGTAAACATGCAAAATAATATTATCAAATGTTGTGCTGTTTAAAATTAGACGCGCAACAACAAATTAAACATAATCTTGGACTATGTCCCGCTGGGACTATATCCCGAATAAATTTTCAAGAAAAAATATTGCGCAGCAATAACGCAGCCCCAATAATTCAGTACAATAACATTAAACTCACAAAACATGAAAATGACAGAATATCGATTAACCTTTTCATTGGTGATAAGATGCGAAGAGTTAGCAGCATTGGATTGAGTATTCATTTGCTGCATTCAAAATAATATCACGAGCTGAAATGATTTGCAAAACGATATTAATCACCCATGAACACAATAATGCCTCAGCCAAATTCATATTCTTGAAAAAGGCCGATTTTCGACACAATTCCAGAATGTCAATGCAAACTGCTAATTGAATACGCCTTCAGATATCCGATGAACTCACCGAAAGATCATTTCAAAAGAATTAATCATTACATGTCACAAGAGCATGCAATTCGAGAATGACCTTTTCGCATGCTAATGAAAGCTTTGAAAAATAAATGCTTACATGAGCCTATTGTAGGAATTTAACACCTTCAGTTTCCGTTCCAATATTCAATAATTGAGCTCGTCGCTGATCGACCAGTATTGTTAACGACTTCAGTAGAACGTCTTTGTCAAGTCCGAAGAAGGCTGAAAAAATATTTCATTAATAAAGCAACGATTAGTTGGAACTTGTTTTGAAAATTCCTCAACCGAAGGTCACAACAAAAATATTCATATTTTCCAATCGAACCTTCAAGCCTTACGAATTTATAAATGCTATGACATATCAAAGTAATAATGCCAAAGGCAATAGTTAACAATTTGATCGAGTGAATAAAGCGCAGTGAAATGTGATAGTTTTCTCATTCTTGATGAAGCATAACGAGTTTACTGTAAACATACTGAACGCACTGATATTTGCATCTTTTGAAATTTACCCATTCAGCTATACTCTATCACCATCAATTGAAAAAGATTTGACAAAGCTTATCAGCTTTGTTAAAGCTTTAGCTGATAAGCTTCCACTTAAAATTAACAAACGACACTACCATAAGAGATGAATTTCTACGTAAAAATCAGATGATTTTAGAACAGTGAAAGAAACTCACATTCCTGTGAGACGTCGTCACCCTGAGTGATTTCGTACAGTGTACAAGGAGTATTCAATAATCCGTTACTAACAGCCCACTCGTAAATTAATGATGCCCACTCTTCAGGTCGCCTCCAATAAATATGACACCTGTTCTTACTCTTATCCAACCAATCAATATTCCCTATAAACATGAAATAATTCACATCAAATTTTCAATGAACGAGGCAAATGTCACACGAGTGTGCTAAGATGATTGAGATAGAATAACTTTAAAGTCGTTCATTAGGACAAACATAACGATAAACATGAAATGAATTGGTAAAGTTTCAATTCGTGTTGGTTTTTGCGCGGTTATTTTCTAGTGAAATATTAAGATTTGTTGAGTCATCAGTAAGGCGATTAAAATATTAACACGGAATAAAACTTTCATATTCTTAAAGTCACGAGCTACTAACTGGCATCGTATGCTGCTCTCAAGATTCCTACCTTTCGTTAACAGTGATAAAGTGAACACAATTTCGTAAGGTTCGAGATAATTTTTCTCATCAAAGAAACTGAGTTCGCAATGAAATAAGGAATTAGTATTTAATGAATTAACTACGAAGATAAATACTTACGTTCTAGATAATCAAGACAAATACTTACGTTTATGCTCCAGATAATCGAAAACAGCGCGAACACCGTCAAGTGGAAGTTTACGATTAAGAGTGGCGTTAACAAACAATTCAGAATTGGAAATATCCGTTATATCGAGCGTATAGATCTTATGAAATTGACAGTAATCGACAACCAAACGACTCCACGCTTCCAACTGTTTTTCACGTGTTACTAGTGTCGTTTGAAGCCTCAACATAACGCTAATCAACAACTTCCATTTCAGTTTTGCGATGGTCAAAATCCAGTTAGATATATTACAATAAATATTATTGTACTATTCGGGTCATATGGGACAATTATTACTGCGAGAAATGATCAGCGATGAAATATCTACATTTTTGTCATTCCAATTTGAAAAACCATTCTGAAAGGCATGAAAATATGGGAGATGCCGAAAACCACGAACTGGACCAATTGTCCACGTCAGAATTAAATTCGCCCCTAATTTTCACCGTCGTTAACAAAGTGACCCTTTTTGTGATCCTTCTACAGTTTAAGAAAATTGACTCCAAAACTTACGTGAAAAAAGGCGGAAATTCATATTGCCAAGGCCATTTGAATGTCATTCTATTCCGTTATTGCCATGGGCACCACCTGAACACGAAACACTTATATAAGCAAACAATGCGGAATAATACACTTAATGTAACACTAAAACTGAAATACCAGACCTCTTCTAAGTTACTCACGAGTTTCTTAATCATCTACACTGCATAGATGAATAACTGAATAGCAATGGAGCAAGAGACACTGCTCTGAGAAATTGTTTCTTATTCGATAGTGACGCTGATTATTTTGCCATGTTGCAATGGTCACATATTTCTACGGTTGACTAAAACCGTTAAAATGACTAGTGACGCTGTGGTTAAAGTTTACAGTCAATGACTGAAATGAGTTCGTGATACTCCACTTTAAATGACAATCTACGTGATTTAAAAAACTGAAATCCTTATGACTGAACATTCAACCAATTCACAACAATACGATGTCTTGAACTATTTAGCATTGCTCAATAAACTATCTCATTTAGATAACTTAACTGAATAAGCAAATACAGGCAATTTAGGTTGCTAATAATAAAGAGTTCAAGCTAATTAGCACGTCTTGAACATCCGAAAGATATGTGAATACCAATTTAATAGTTAGAAAAACTGTTTTCGCTCGAAATCACATACCAAACAGTCACAAGAGCGCGGTTTGAAGTTAACGTTTTACGGTAACGAGTGGCCGACTACCTATCAGTCACTCTGCCACTGGATGAGAGATGCAGAGGATTACTGCGCGCGTGCAGATGGATGAAAAATTCACGACTGATTGATTCAGATAATTGAATTTGTTTCCATCTGGAGGTCATTCGGATAAACAAACTATGCTTCACCTCGTAGCGCAGATTTGTATCTTAACACAGCGTTCAAAAAGTCTGCAGTTATGATAGCGAGGTGGACAAAATCATGAAGTTGTTCACGTGATCGTTCAAGATGGATTAACTGGTTCATATGAAGATGTTAAAGTATGTCTAAAATTTTATGCATTCTTTTTCAAACTACAGGATGTCCTTAGAGTGTAGATATAGGCAGAATATGGGCTAATGGCTAGTGAAAATTGCAGCTGGTGAGTTTTCTAGTCTCCAGATTTTAGGACCATTTAAGGAACTCGTGGGTGGTCCCATTTTTAAATTAGTCTTGCGCATCTGGCCGGGTTTACGTAAAAAT